AAAGATCGCTTTAACTACAAGGAAGTGGGAAAGGGGTGGATGGCTCTCTCTCTCTCCCCTCTCAACTTTCCAGAGATGTCACAGGCTTTAATTACAATGAAGTGGGAAAGGGGTGGATGGGGTCTCTGTCTCTGTCTCTCCCCCCACCCCCCCCGCGTCTCAACTTTCCAGAGATGACACACGAACACACTCCAGCATCAAAAATGCATTTTTCTACACTCCAGAAAAGGCTCGAGGGTGGTGGAGAAAGTCCAGTTCTCAAATAGAGTCCTAACTTCCCCACCTCTCAGAGACACTGGAAAATGGGAGACACAGTGGCAGATCTCCTCTGATCTAATTCTCCAAAAAGACACACCGAAGCCGAAAGATCGCTTCTGGCAGAAGCCGCTACCATTAAGTACCTCTCCATTCGCCCCACGCCCCACAACAGCTACTAATCCAACCCCGTCCCCCGTCCCCCGGCAAGCAGGTGGCCGCTGCAACCCTGGAGCTGTGCGCCTGAGGCGCTTAAAAGTTAGCTGCATGTTGCAATAATTAAAGGAAAAGACGGAAAGGCTAAACTCTCCAAACACAAACGATAGATCTTCAGAATAGAGCCCGGAAATCGGGCCAGAAACACAACGGTTGATGACAGAGCAAGCCGGGAAGCGAAGACCCAAATGCGTGTCCGCTTCGCGTTGGTGTCAGAACAGCATACGGGCTGCCAATTGCTCTGCCAAAGCTCTCAACAGACAGCTCGAAGACCCGCCCAGCGAGTTGTAGGAATAAGGTGCAACCTTGGAGAGCAGACCGAATCCTGCTTCTCAGCGGATGAGGCAGAAGATCCAAAGGAAATCTCAAGCTTTTGCTTTCTTCTGCACCTTAATCCTCTGCCCAGCCAGAGATGCAGGAAGCCTCCTCCCCTCCATTGAAAATGCTTGACTTTTCCTTTGTTCACTCACTGACTGTATATATGGAGGCTCAGTAGCATCATCAAAGTGGGAAGGCATTATTAACATGCTGAGATTTAGTTATTTATTTCACAGGCCCTGATAATAAAAGTGACTTTTTGATGATGGGTGCCAGAACATCTTTATAGAGAAGCAACAATGCCATTATGATATCTGCAGAAAAACGTGTGGCTGTCTTAATGCTTGCCAGCATCATACTGGTCTCTACACAGCATTTTAGCCATGCCATGTGGCTAATTCTAACCAGATTTTTCTGCACTTTTATCTCTTTCAAACTTGCAGCAGCCCTTTGTGTGATATATGAACTTATCAATTGTAGTTGTTTTAAGATAGTAAATCCGTAAGGAAAGGAAACTTTATCACTGAAATCATGGCTATAAGTCAGTAAAAAAATCTGTGTTTTGCATGCATCTTTCCACCTCTTCCTCATTATGTCATTAAATGTTTCTACTTTAAAGGTGTCCAAACAGGAGAAAAAATAATTAGATTCCTCCTATTTCAAGATGAATACTAGCTTCCTTATTTTTGAGAAATAGGGAACTATTTGCAGTCAAAAAATTGAGGGCAAGCATTGATATTTCCAAGCTATTTCACATACAACAAACAATTCAACAATGGGAAGAACTTTCAGAACCTANGAGCTTCCTGTTCTTTCTAATAGCAATTATCAATCGATACCGCTCACCTTATATTATTTCCCCTTCTATTTTATATTATACATTCTTTCATTTGTTCTTCCATTTCAAATGTCAACTGTTGCTTACACACAATAGCAGTAATATGACCATCACTTGTACATAATTGTTTTAAATTCAAATTCAAATTCAATCATAAGGTGTTTTTTTTAAAATCTATTTTAAACCTTTCTGAATTTAAACCTGACCAAACCATTAAAATGTATTTCACTCAAAACCAAAATATTGATCCCATTAATTAAGGAAAGCTCATCTTTAAGATAGATATTTGATCATGAATACCCAACCAAAGGGCTGGGAATACTGGCTGGCATGAAGACTGCATCAATATTCAGCACTTGCAGCGATCTAAGGCATGGGATGGGGTGAAGGGATGTTTTCCATTTTAGGGAGGAGGCTGGGGAGAGAAAAAGAGAAATGAGGCACAATAATCAATGAAGAAAAAATATATTTCTCTCAATTTCATCCACAGGGATCAGTGTTTTCCCCTCTACAATGAGACAGTGGCCTGAGCAGAAAGAAGATGACTTTCTATGGGGACAAAGAGATAACAGCCACATGAATCACACTCAAAACCTAAATGCTGTTTTGTTTGGAAGCAAGTGTTTTAATTAGGGCAATGAATTAATGAATTAAATCAGTCAAGCGTGACTGCAGCATAATCCTGCAGAACATCTAATGTTCTAGATTACTATTGGCCATCCCCAGCTATTTTCTCCAGCAAAAAATACACACAAGAAGACCAGATACTATCATTCTTTCAAAGTATCATGTTAAGGGTGCAAATCTACCACAAGGATGAGCCTATTGCGAGAATTACCTGACTTTAGAATAATTCATTGGCTGACTGTTGCTAAGCTGTTTTTTTCCCCATTTGTGTGTTTTGCAACAAACCCATTAAAACACTCTGCACAACCTACTTTGTGTTTTCAAAAACAACCCACAATGATTGAGGGTTCATCTACTTACATAGAGAGGATGCTACTTAATGACTTAATGCATCATAAAGACAGGGACAAAAATAAAAAGGCTGCAGGATTTCAGCCTGTTTGGCTACTTTGGTTTTCTGTTGTTGGCCAAATCAAGCTAATGAAGAGTAAATACAGTACATCCTAAAGAAATCTACTCATCACTTTAATGCAGAAAATCTTTTTCCTTCCAATTCTCACATAGGCAAGAAAACATTATTTTCAATGCCTAAATCTGATAAATGAGAATTTCAGAACACCTGAAAGAATGGAATGAAAACCCTTTTTCTGTATTGCTTCCCAAAAATTACATGGGCATCATCAGGATTTAGTGAAGACTTTGCCTTAAAGTTTAGCAATATCCATGCAAAAAAAAGACAAATAGATGTTCCATACAATCAAACATGTAACTGCATCCTGCAGAAGTATGTTGTTGGTCCCTCAAAAAAAATATAAGTCCCTTAAAAAAAAAACCTAATTTTTTATTAGGCAAAAGTGGAAGAGAAAGCATCTTTAGGAGCCAGAGAAAGAACAGCATTTTTTTCATAAACTCTGAGAAATTCTTTTTCATACATTCTTCATCCTGAGAAAATCATCATCACATCTAAAAATGGAATGCTAATATAGCTTTATGTTAGTATAAATTAACAAATAATATTGCTTCTCTTATGGATAGGAATCAGTTACAAAAGTGGGGGGGAAATTTCTGTTTGGCCTAAACAGCTGCATCTGGATTAGGCTGATCTAGAAGTACCCTGTTATAATTACTTTCCTGGGTCAACCAATAAACTCTTGAAATAGAGAATAGAGGCAAGTCTGTATTATTCCACAGGTGTCTTGCATTTCCATTCCCATAACCTGCGGATTTATGCTGGGTCAACATCTGATAGCTAAAGTCCAATATTTCTGGAGAACATCACAGATTGGTGAAGGTGGCAAAGATCGCTTTAACTACAAGGAAGTGGGAANTGCAAACAAGCATAATATAATTAGACCACTAGACTTGTTGAAGAGAATAATATTTCGTGCCTGTGTTTACAGGTAACTTATAAGGCACTGGGATAAATGACAAATGACTAATACCATACTAAACACCAATTAAATCTGTGATTTACAGAACAAGCCACAACTGATCAGTTTTACACACAGGTTATAAAGAATGGTTTACAACTTGCAATAGCTGTGGTCACAAGTTACATCAAAATAAAAGAAACTGTATTATAGTTTAGCACAATCCAGTCATACTCTGGAATGTCATACGTATACTACATCCTTATTATGTCTCTTTTATAATCTTCTTGTAAATACAGCTATAATATCTGAATTCAGAAATGCATTTTAAAATTAAAGTACAAAATTAAGTTTTGTGAAACTTCTGCTATAAGCTCTACATTCATAAAGCAAATGTCATAAAATTAGCAAAAGCACCTGGCAGAGAAAATATTCTAAGGTTGATGCTGGAAAACAATACAAACTAAATTCCCACTTCATCAATCAATGACTTCCACAATATATGCATACACAATTACACAACACTTTCTCTTTGCACTCTTATGTAACTGCACTTAACTTAAATATCAGTAAAGGAGTCATCTGTTATTTCAAGAGATACAAATTTCAAAGAAATTGTTCAAAATCCAACCACAATCTATTATCACATATTTCAAGACTTCTATTTAATTCCACAAGGATGATATAAAGTTAAAGTCAGCAATCATACCTGAATAATACTTATACCTTGTTAGATCCTGATTAAGCAATATTTGAGGGGAAAAATTCAAGGGAAATAATTTCATCTTATTGGATGATATTGCTACCACTGACTCAGATCCAGGTATTTTAATAACTTTCATAATGTTGTCTCTAAATGGTGACATGGTTTCCATTGTTCAAAGTAAAAACCGTATAGGACAACTCCATCCCCAAGATGTAATATAATTGAAAGAAATTCACCAACCCTGAAATAATTAGAAAATTCCCACCTATGTGATGGAATTCAACTATCTTTGCTTCATAGTGGTGGGGAAGTAATAATCAAAGATGCAGGTCAATGTGGTCTCTCTTTCACAGATCTAATTGACTAGAAAATGTAATTAATTATATAAGTATGAATAAGGTTTTGTGAGTTTCTAGGTCAGGGATGTCAAACTCACATCACAGCGGTATCACATGACGTATCGGGACTCCCCCCCCTTTGCTAAACTGGGTGTGGGCGTGGCCAGTGCATGACACATTCGGCCCATGGGCCGGGAGTTTGACAGCCCTGTTCTAAGTAAAAACCTGTGTAGCTGGATTAGAGGACCCAGGATCAAGTATGTACTTGACTATGGCCTTCACTTAATGACTTTGGGCCAGTCAGAATCATTCNAGTGCCATAATACCTAAAACAATTTTGCACATTGTTTTTATTAGTTACTTCCTAGATTCCCTTCAGAAACCAGAAAAAAGATTATAAATATCTTAATAAAAGTCTCTACATGTTTGCACTAGAATAAAAATGAACTTTATAAATTGTTTCGTTGTTGATTCATTTACCCCATATCATCTTCAAGCCTTTATGTGAATAGACTTGTCCAATAATTTTCTAGTTTAAAAACAAAGTGGTAATAAAGTACAAATCCAAGCCAGTCAATATTACATTTAAACAAGTACAACCATAAGAAAAGATATACAATATCCATTTGCTTGTGAAAGCTGATTCATCATCATACAAGTTAACATTTTTTCCAGGCATTAAACATCTTTTGACTTCCTTTACTGATCCTATTTCAGAAGAATTGATTATACTGATTCATTTGCATTAAAATATTTTAGTAAGGGATGTTATATGATGACAATAGCTAGGAAAAACACTTCTCTTTGCTAGCACATAGAAATATTAAATGGGACAATTTACTCTTCTCCAATCATATACTTTTAAATCTTTGCTATATACATATCTTAGTAACTCTCTGCAACTGTCCAATTTCTTTCCAGTGAATAATGCTATTATACTATGGAAAACAATAAATGTTCAGAAAATTAAATTAAATTAAATGGGGATCAGGATTTTAACTGATTTCTAATTCAGGTGATAATGCTATTTCTGCAGAAAATACAAATGATTCAAATCCAACAGGACTGTGAATGTATTATTATGGTCTTATTGATAAAAACTTTACTTTTAAAAGATTGAAAATTAAAATACACTGCAATGTGTATTTCTTTTGAACCAATATTACAGGTAGTCCTTGTTTCATATCCACTCCTTCAGTGACCATTTGAATTTACAGCAGCATTGAACAAGAGGCACTTGTGACAGGTCCTAATAATTGTTACAGGATTTGCGCAATAACAGCAACTGGGATTGTTGGAACTACAATCCTAGGTTGGCATGATCCACATGACATCATGCCATAACCCCGTCACTTAGCAATGAAATAATTAAATTGTTATATACTGAATATTAATGTTTTGAGCATTGAGCCTTTTGTAGGCACAGCCAACACAACAGTGTTAAGGGACACAGTGCTACAGAGCTGATGTACATGAATGTTGCCCCACTCCTTTACAGGTTGGAGCAAGCATACCATATATAGCCATGCCCAACAGAGTCTCTCTTCAAAAAATATTGGCTAAGCACCAATAATTTTACACTGTGATTTTTCTTTGTGTTAAAGCAGCCCCTTCCATTCTATTTAAGGCTGTTTGGCATAGACTTCTCATAATGGCATCTATCAGAAAATTAATAATCATATGGCGAGAGCTACCTATGTGAATCTTCATGTTAATAGCATGTTGAACACAGAAATATTTTGCCTACTCTCCACATGAGCTAGCATGTTTCCCACTTGATGGAGGTTTCCAAATACTGCATCAAAAATATCATAATGGTGGGTTTGCTAATTATTCAAACTGACTTCTTAAAAGAAGTGATATCAGTTCTGCCACATTCCTTTCCAAAAGTTTATTGAGCAGAGAGGATACGAAGCAATGGAATATGTTGTCACCATCTCTGTCTCTCTCTCTCTCCTTCACCACCATTTTTTTCCACACACAAAATCTTAAATTTATTCCATGAGGTCAAGGATCAGAGGTCACACATTAAAAGAAGTTAGTCTTGCTTTTCAATCCCACCCAACCTTTCCACTTGCAAATAGGATGATGTATGCTACATTATCAACAGAAAGGTTGCCTGAAAATTCTACTGTTCTTCAAAACACAGGGAAACAAAGAGTGTGTGCATGCCCTTTTATTATAGGTTTAACTTTGGATGAGCATGCTGATAAAATATGTGAAGGTTGAGGGAAATGTTCTATCATCGATATAAATAATCAGCTTCAATATTAGCAGCAATCTCAGCTTCCCACTTGTCTCCGTTGTTGAGCAGCTTCTCTTTGTTGTATAGGAGCTCTTCGTGTGTCTCAGTGGAGAATTCAAAATTGGGGCCCTGGGGAGAACAGAGCAAAGAGATGTAGTAAAAGCAAATCCAGACTGACACCTTCGTTAACAAAATCCCCCACCCACTCCCTCATTCACCTCCACAATGGCATCAACAGGACAGGCTTCCTGGCAAAATCCACAGTAGATACATTTGGTCATGTCAATGTCATAGCGAGTGGTCCTGCGGCTACCATCAGCTCGAGTTTCAGCCTCAATAGTGATTGCCTGCGGAGAAAAAGGATTCTCAGAATCAGGAGAGCACCCTGAGATTATTCAAAGTTTAGCTGCACAATGGTAAAATCCTAACAGTGGGATTTCAGGCAAGGGAGTGTTGCCTCCCAGAGGCCTCCTACTCCCGCTCCTAGCTTAAAAATTCCCCACAAAAAATGACTACTCTTTTTTCAGTAACAACACTGGATGTTCCTGAAGGTGAGTTGCAAAGGCAACCCACGGAAATGATCAAATCCTACTTTAACTCCAGTTTTTGACGTCTAGAAAACCTAAGCTGAAATTTATCCATGTTATAATAAATTCATTTAGAATGAAATACTTCAGTCAAAGACATGCAACACTTAAGAAAACTAGAGTGGGATAGAGTTTTGTAAATACCACAGAAGAGAAGGGATTCTTGAACACAAAAGTGCTTCAACTATAGCCAACAGAATTTTAGCATTGGAGGGAACATCCATTCCTAAATAATTCCATTCCTTTAGCGCTAGAAGAAAATTTAGCATTAACTCTATAACTGTATGCATGTGTGAAGCAATCAGATGATGATATACTGTGTTTTTCGGAGTATAAGGTGCACCGGAGTATAAGACGCATCAAGATTTTGAATTTAAAAAAAAATTTTTTTTAACGTTTTTGCCCTCCCTGGAGCACTCTGCAGGCCTCCCAAACCCTCTGAAAACTGAGGCATGCAGAGTTTGGGAGGCCTGCAG